ACACTCTTGTTCCAGGAATCCAATGTAAACACCGCAATTTCACAAAAATATTCAATAGGGTAGCCTAAAAACACGCAAAACAGTCCAGTACGTCACATTCAACGCAAGATTCTTGTGCGTAACCGGAGGGTGACGGCAATGACTACTTTCGTTTTTCTCTTTCCCCCGTTGCTTCCGCTGTTCTGGGGAAACGGGTAAGGGGAAGTCACTCAAGAAAACAATTATATCTGGGCACTGTTGATGATCCGTTCAAAACAAAAGTAGGCTAAAATTCGGACTTCAGGCACGTCGCAAAGTGACGCCATTAACGGCGAATGTTAAACAGCTGACCGAAATCGTAGATCTAGGAACCCGATGTTCCTTTCGCACATCGCGGCTTTTGAAGTATTGAATAAACGACGAAAAGCAAAAAGATTTGACCAGCTACTGAAAAATAATGGTGTTTTCTGAAACACCTAGTCCGTGACGACATGACTGACGCACAAGTGATCCGAATTGTTTGTTTATTTGCAAACAAATAAACCGATTTCTTGAGCAAGTTAACCTTTCTCGATGACAAATAGCATAGGATCAAAGCACACGTTAAAAAAACCCACCCAGAAATACTAAATTTTGGACATTCTTGAAAGTTTGCATTGGTGTGCTCAAAATGACACTCCAGGAATCATTAAAAAACGAACAATTTTGGCACAAAGTTTACAAACTCAAGATTGTAAAGCTGACATGGGATCTGAAACTGCTAACGCAGGTTCTACATCCTATATTTGACATGTGTATAAGTTTTGGAGAAATAAAAACTAATGCATCACATTTTATGCACACTAATGTGAGATGTGTGTGTTTTTCCCCACGTTTTGGCAATGGCTCATGAGTGACCTGAGGTTCGAAAGGAGTATAGTAATATAGGTCAATTTCCGAATGTTTTGCACTCAAATTGTTCTTTGTACCTGCACAATGGTATTCAAAACTATCAAACAAGATTATATTTTATCAGGGAGTATCATTTCATACAAAATCAAGCTCATTTGAAAGATTTTGTATGGAAAAATGGAAGGCTTGTTTCCTCTGACTAACCTTTCGAGCTCCTCATGTCTAAGTGGGTCAATTTCTTCTATAATTTCATTGGACGAACATCTAGAGCTACCAACTTGGCGTGTTTTGAATGAGACGAATGCCTCGATTACGAACCAACGCAGGCGGTTCTAGAAGAAGGCCACAAACGCACACAAACTCAAGCAGACTGACGCGCACACACTTGACCTGCGTGAATGGGGATCCGACTCGGGACCCGAATTTCACGTAAGATGATGCATGGTGCGCGTGCACTGAGCCAGGGGCTACAGTGATTCGGGACCAGAACGTATGTGAGGTGCCGAAATAGGCTTATCAGGCGACATAAACCCGGCCCCAGCAGGACGAGGGTTAAAAGCTTGCATACCAAAATCTAAATTCTAGATCCTTAGATCTAGATGTGATCCACCCAGTCTATTAGGCTAGATTAGATCTATCTTGCAAAAAGTTGATCTCGTTTCTGTAACCTACATTATACATGCGATTAAACGTAGAAAGATGCAAACTGTTTTTAGGTAAGGCGGCCATTTTGTGTGACGTCAGACCGGGACACCCCTCCAATCATGTGACTATATGTAAATTAAGTAAATATAGATCTAGCCAACGGGATGGCACGACGGTTTGGTGCGATAATTTTCCAGGAATACCGGTAATGTGATATGATGCAGTGCTCCGATGATGAATAGTCTCTGATACGCTAGATCTAGACGAAATGTTCAAACAATGAATTCAGTAGACGCAGTGAACCGGAAAATTAGGAAGCTCAAACCCGTGAATGTCTCAATGAAGGAAATTGTTGACATTCGTACGGTGTCAATACTGGAATTCCGAAATGTTATTGACATATCGGATACACGTCGTTCTATCCGGTACCTCCATGGCCTTCTTAAAATAGTCTGTGGGTATCCCAGATGACATCACATTACTAAAATTAGGAGCCAATCAGAAAGATGCATCTTCTACATTTAACGGCATGTGTACATTATCCAGTATAGCACAACAGAAACCCAGTTTATTATGAATAAATCTTTAAAATTTTATTTTTTCCATTTTTTAAAACCCAGATTGATGCAATAATGATCAAAGACTGTCAGAACATGTTTGATTATAACTAGAACCATTTGGAGGCCTTACTTTTTTTTTCTTCTGTTGTTTCAGTCTGCATGTTTTTGCTTTTTTCTGCACTAAGTGGCTGTAGTTGTCATGGTGGTTCTCTTTACTGCAACAAGAAGTAAACTAAATTTATCCAGGAAAAGTGGACAATAACCTTGTTAGTTGCAGCAGTGTCAGTGGTCAATAACAGGGATGACTTTGTATTTTGTGTCCCTGAACAGCTGGGTTTTTCGGTTTGTTTTGTTCTGTCTGGTTCCAGTTAACTACCAGTTCCTTTCAAAGTTGATCATGTCAGTGATACTGTGGGGTGTGAGCTGAATGACTCATTGCAGTGTTGTATATGAGCTGAATGACATCAGTGCTGCATTGATGTATAATTAAAAGATACAAATTGCTCCGCTCATTGTTGCTGTTTTGTTTTTTTCTTTATTTGTGAAGAAAAGTGGTGTTATAGAAAGGGTTTCTAAGTTAATGTGTTTAATTGATAAATTTTCTGTTTTCCAGAGTGGAACAAGTTTTCATGTGTATGACCAGCAGAGCTTCTCAAGGGAAATTCTTCCTTTGTATTTCAAGCACAGCAATATTGCCAGCTTCATACGACAGTTGAACATGTGTATGTATTTTATAATACCCAAATGTCATTATTTCGATAATGATGATATAATGATAAATAGTTTTTTTATATAGTGAAATTCTCAACACCATTTTATTTGCATGTTAATTTCAGCATCTCGGTTCACATCCACCACTTTTACAAGTGAAATTGTTCAGGGGGAAAATGTTGTTAGCTTTGCTCTAAGTCTGTAATTTGGGCTGTATTTTATTCACTTTTTGATTTTATGAGTGCTTTTTGTTTCTGTTTTATGTGTGGTTCCTACATACTTTTTTGTGTCTGTAAACACTTCTTTTTAATGTCTTTCTCTATGGAAAAGATCTGTAAAATTTTTGTTTGTCAAATGTTTTCAGATGGTTTCCGCAAAGTAGCCCACATTGATCAGGGTGGTTTGAAGATAGAAAAGGATGACCTCCAGTTCCAACACCAGTACTTCCAGCGGGGAGAACGGGACTTGCTTCAGTACATCAAACGAAAAGTGAGTCTTTGTTCCTTTTCCAATTGCCTGGTCAAATGGTGGAACAAAATTGTTTTGCAAATTTGTTTCACAGATTAAAGAAGAAAATATGATATTGGTATCAGTCTTGTTGCAGTTAACCGCTTCACTTTTAACTGCAAAAGACATGTATTCGATTACCATGTGGGGAGGGGTTTTATGGTTTTATGTTAACCTGTCTGCTTGAACACATTTTTTTTTGGCCGGGGGTTGGCTCTGGCAGGCAGGGTTAAAGCGGCCTGCCTCTTAAATAATCTGAAATGGTGTCAGTGGATGCTTACAATTAATTTTCATTGTGATATTGCAGGAATTAAGGTAGCTACATTAGCAATTATTAATTATTTGTATTTTGATTGAGAGTTCAGGGAATGTTCTTTGAGCTTCTATTGTTTTAGTTGGTGAGTGTCAGTGCTTTGTGTGTGTTTATAAAAACACCCCAAATGTCGTTTATGATGAACACACGGACAAGTAAATTTAAATGCTGGTCATAAATGTTTTCCATATATGAGACAGCATGACTTATATTTTAACATGCCATAATAAGTATTCTTAAATTTTATAAAGGATAATGATACATCTGCCCAGGTTTCCAATCAGACTGTGAGACCAGATTCCTTGACTGCTGCGAAACCAGATGAGTTTTCCAGAGTCCTCACCGATGTCAATCAAGTCAAGTCAAAACAAGAGTCCATGGATCAGAATCTCGAGTACATCAAGCGGTAATTCAAAGTTTGTGTTATGTATTGAACTTAAAGACTGAATAACAAAAGTTATTATTTTGGGTCTTTTCATATTTGTGATTGGGCTAAGTATGTTCTGTAACAGTGAGTTTTTCGTCTGTATTGATGTGATTATGTTTGTTTTGTAACGTTGCTACATTATTGTACTTATGTGTGTGCTGTAGTCATTAGAATGCCCCCACATGGGTCAATGCTTACTTTTCCGATCCAGAGGTGGGTCAATAAAAGTAGAATTTTTGTTTTACATATTTTATTTAATCATATGTAAGCTTTGTTTATCTTGCACTTTAACATCACCTGTTGTTTACTTACTGTATGATATAATTGATGTACCTGGGTCATTTTGAATATACTTGTGATGTTGACAACTGCATGTTTACTTTAGTCTTTATTAGCCATTACTGAGAAGCAGCATTTTGTCTGATTGGGAAGATTGATTTGTCTTCTTTTTTTAAAAACTCATTTATTATTGATGTGTCTCTTTCCTCTGTTTTTATTGGATTTCTTTTCTCTGAAATAGTTTTGTAAAGATCAGTGCTTCTATCATTGTTTTAGTCTAGGTCACCATTTCTTCCTGAACTAAAGAGAAAGCCTGTCATTCATGAAAGACAATGTCTCATAATATAGCTGTATGTACGTTTTAATGAGACAGTTGTGGATATTTTTTGGGCATTTATTGTATGTTTATGTGGAAAATAATTTGATATGACTTTGCTTTGCCTCTTTGACAGGGAAAACAAGCTCTTGTGGCGGGAGGTTGCCGTGCTGAGGCAAAAGCATCATAAACAGCAGCAAATTGTCAACAAGGTAAGGCTAGATTTACTGTTGCGTTAGATGCCCTTCTTTATTGTGTAAGGTTCATGTTGAAGAATTGTAAGCCTCATGAATTAATAAAGATTCATCCACTTTCCGAGGCCTACTTTTATGTGCTGTTTTGAAAGCTTGGTGTCAGAAGAAATTGTATGAGTTCACCCTATAATGTTGGAAAATGCTTGAAAACAAGCTACCCAAGAACCAAGCAAGTAAAAGTCACAAACCTATACATATTCAGCAAGTACAATTTAAGGAGCTCATTTGTGGAGGAGTTAAGATGTTTGGCCATATAGAAAATGGATAAACGGAACTTATGGCTGATTTGACCAGTCTTCGACTCTTGAAGGGTTTAAACCCCCCCCATGATCTTTGTTTGAAATTTGAAACAATCAGCTTCTGCACACAGCATGATGTTCAGTGATGCACAATCAGGATCAAAGGCTTGAGTTGTATTTTGTGGTTCCTTCAGTTTCTTGTTTTTGGAAGATTCAAGCTCACAGTCCCCCTATCCCCCCCCCCCCCTCCTCCCATTTTTTTTCTTCTTCTTAAATGGGCAATAACAATAAGCTTGCCAAGACCTCTGTCACGAGGCCTTTGTTTATGTTACATTCATCAATGAACTTGCAACCCTTGTCCTTGACACCCGAGGGAGAAAGACTGACTTTGGTCGAATTGCACATTTTTAATCCAGATTTCTAATTATTCGTTTGTTGATTACTAAAATGTATGCTGGTGGGTTGGCAACCCTGACAAGGCAACTTTTAAAATTTTGTTGTTGCTCCATTTCTTAATCTCCTTTGTGTGCTCTAACAGAACAGGACTTCTTTTTATATTGCAGTTGATCCAGTTCCTTGTGTCCCTTGTAAGCTCCAACAGAACGGGACTGACGATCCCACCCATGAGAAGAGTCCCCCTAGCAATTAATGATGTCAGTCAGTTGGCAGCATCCCCTCCACCGCCTGCTGCACTTGGCGCTGCCGACAATAGGGTGGCTGCATTTCAAGAAGCGTCTGCTGATCTTGTAAGTTTTGTTTTGTAATAATGGGTCTCTCTTGTTTGGTCATCATCATCAATGTCTTTCAGCCTTGGGAGGGTTATAACCCACAGACAAGCAATTTTCATCCTTTTCTGTTGTGGTCAAGCTATCCAAACTGACCCTAGTTGTGTCCCATTTTCATCATATCTTTTCTAATACTCTATGCAATGTTTCCATGTGTCCTGTGGCCTATACAAGCCATATGTTTCTCTTGGAGGTGCAGTTATACATGACATTGGGCTACTGATTTATGTCACGGCGTCACTTTTCGCCCGATTCTGTTACTTTTAGTTCGCGTGACTCAGCAGCCCGCCGGAGCTCCCCGGCTCGTGGTCACGGGGTTAATGAGCCCTGAGGCGACTTTGCCGGTGTCGGTCGGGAAGTTCGCATTTTTGACTATGTTTAAAACGATATAACTTCTTCCCCATCCCACACAGCAAACCATTACGCGAATGTATTAAAAGCTCAATGTCTTGAGATTTATTCTGCGTTAGAATGGTTAATTTCTGTGCCTTAGTTTTTGTTCTAGACAAGTGTTTGTAGAGTACCCAATTTGTCCTATTTTAGTTACAAAGTTATGAATAAATGATTGTTATTTTAAAAAAGGCACGACAGATCTCTCCAAATTCTGTGTTAAACTGACTACGAATATCATGTCTTTTACCATGAGAAATCTTAAATCTGCGGTAGTAGTAATAGTCAAGTTATAAGAGAAGAAAGATGCACATCTGCATATTTTAACTAAAGACGATCAGCGTTAGCTCTTATTTTACTATTAAACAAGAGAAAGTTACTCTGCGTTTGTTCATGAATCATGCTGTGTCTGTGGCAGCCTGCATACAACTAAAAAGATATAATATAAGCGATTTAAAAAACCACAAAACCGTGTAAATACACGGGTAGAGATAAACTTCTAGTATGGAATAAAAATAATGACAGCTAAAACATTCATTCTTAGTTTTTGTGTAGGAAATATGCGCTGACACAATTATGAATGTAAAGAAATCAGTCACATTGTCAGTTATTGCAAATGGTCATAGAAACTTTTAAAAAGCTAGAAAAGTCTGGTGCTGATTCAGTGTCCCTGGAAAGCTTGAAATTATTCTTATAACCCAATTACGAGAAGTCATCCCTATTATTCAGTCAACTTACAAAACCTAGACTTAGCGTTTTAAGAAAAGTAAGCAATTTCTGGAGTGTAACAGATACTGTTCGTGTATTAGATCTACGTTGAAGATATATTCTAGCACTAAAATTGATTTGTACTTTTCATTGAGAAACTTCATGATAACTTTTATAAACTTTCGAGAAAATATGCGAATATTCATGATTATATTAAACACATAAAGTTGTATTTGGAGGAATTACTTCGTAGCGAATTGTGTGCCCGATGGATAAAATTGCAAAAGTACAGCCTTCTATTATAAGCGCAGATACCATCTTTTCTGAGTATCTGCACTAATGTTATGTCGTTCATATTCCAAAAGTTCGACAGATTTTGACGATGCGTTTTTTTTATATTGATTTTTGTTCATTCACGCTAGTCCCAAAAAAATTGCAATTTAGCATTGCCGACTCCAGCGCGTCTAACGAAATAACCAGACAAGTTACAACGTCCGTTCTTTTTTGAGTCTCAAGAGCAGAAATGCGTGCTTTGGGTGCACTAAATGAGAATTACCATAAATACAAGGATGCACCTTAAATTGTACGTTGAAAAGTACCAAAAATTAAGTCGGCCCAGACAGAGCGGCGACAGGGAGCTGACCCCCGTGACCCCGACGTGATAAGGCGCCCGGCGGGGAACCCCTCGCGGCAACTAAAATTCCACTGCCGGTGCGCCGTGATGTACAAGACTGATGTGTTAAAAAAAAATTATGGCAATTGGTTGTTTGATTTAGTTTTATTGTTTCTTCACAACAGTCAGTGGGGTCTGCAGAATCTCAGGGTGGTGTTTTACCTCCTGGAGCACAAGCGTTGGACACTGTGACCTTGAAAGATGATCCGTACACAATTGAATCTGTAAGTTGTGTTGATGCTTCAGTCTTTGTATTCCTTTAACACTTTGCTGACACATCTCGCCGATCGGCAAGAGCGCTAAACTTCCACTCCTGTCACAAAACGCGGATCGGCAATGTTCACCTCTCAGTTTCTTTGGATTCCCCCAAAATGCTTTTGATGGGAAGGGTTTTTATTATATGAGCCTTGTGCAAAGTGTTAAGAGTGGGTAGTTGGAGGGTGCCAGAAGTAGGCTTTACTTTTGTTTTTCTCTGTTGGTTTTAACATTCTTGCTTTTTTCCCTGCACTGGACTCTTAAACACTTTGGGTAGTTGTAAATTTTTCTTAGTCGTACGCACCCAGATTAGTTTCCGTACTATTGAACATAATGAAATAGCTGGCTATGGAGTGTAAAACCCCTTGCCAATCACAATTGATGTCAACTGTAATTTTTAACATGGACTTTTGTTGATACATTCACATTCAGTGTCAAATCAGTGCACTACTCTGTTCATATATCCACCAAATTAGATGAAACACTTTTTTGTCTCAAATCATGTTATTCACAATGGTGATTACTATTACTGATACAATACTATGTGAGCATGCCTGGTGAAAGGTACCCAAAAACGCATTTGTTCGAACCGAGATATCAGGCTTCAAAAGTCAAAAATAAAATTTTGGAGAAAAACCAAGTTCCATTAAAAATGGATTTCTTAGCCATTAATATATCGATGTTTAAAAGGATTTGAGTTTCTTTTACATTAGAATACATTTTTAAAGATGTTTTTGAACACAAGGTATATTGCATAGTCCCCAAAAGTGCGTGAGAAAATTGGTTTTCTGAGTAAACGCTGCGGATGGTTTCTCTTGTCCATTCATAATGTCGACCCAATCCCAATGCATACCAAAATTTAAGTCATTCTCTGGCCTCTCTAATGGCGCATAGTGCGCATGAATATCTAGAACATGTAAAGAAAGAGAAGCTTTGCGCGTCCACACCCTTTCGCTTTTTTTTAGAGCAAACTTGTATTGACTTTTTCTGCCCTGCGCAAACCTAGATCTAATTTCTTGAAAATTCTGGCTCAAGGTGATGGTGAATTTGTTTTGAAGACGCAATATAAACACTGAAGCTGTTCTTTTATTTTAGCTGCTTTTCAAAGTTGGTTTGTGATTAGCGAATATGTTCCAGGTCGTTTCAAAGCGTAGATCTATATATTTGAAGTACAAACAAAGGGGAAACTTTAAAGCCGTTCTTCTCAAAACTTTGTTTCTTTACCCTGCCGTACAAAATCACCCATATCTCAAGAACTACTGAAGATATCTAAAAAATTAAAAAAGCATGTTGTTCAGAAATTATCTCTGTACATGAAACTGCAAAAAAAATCTGGATTCTTAAAAATGCATCATTCGGTACCTTTCACCAGGTACACACGCATATAATATGTAAAAAGAACACTGCACAAAACTGAGCAATTCTGGCAGCTGATGAAAAAAAATGTGTCTTTTTTTTTCATTTATCTAGAAATCAAATTCATGCACATACATGGTTGAGTTAGACATGGATGTATATTTCAAAAGGCTTCACAGTAGTAGCCTATAGCCACTGTCTCATAGTTTTGGGCTTCTAATAATATTATTTCCTGCACCTCTGTTAATTCTATTCACTGTTCACTGAGATGTCTGTTGTGGTAGTGGTTGAATGACATGGTTGTGTTTGACTAAACCACTTCAATGTGGGAATCCATATATATTTTAAAACTCAATTTTCCTTCATCCAGCCAAAGATGGATCATATCCTGCTGTCACCTGCTTCGAGCAATGCAGGGCCAATCATTCACGAGCTGACAGACTCACCCAAGGCTATATTAGTACCTGCCTCACTGGTAAGATGGAGTCTTTTTGTTTTAGAAATTATTCAGATTTGATTTGTGATATAATGTGGTATGTTAAAGTCTATGTATATATTTTTAAAATTTGTTTATTATTTCAATTCCTTGCATGGCTATTGATATGCCTATGTTTATTTTTGCTTTAGAAGTTTTCTGTAACTTATAACATGTCTGTTCAGTTGCAATAGAAGTTTTTGTTAAGCTTGATACAGTTATGTATGTCTTTTATTTTATTGTTGAAATTTTCTGGATAGCCAATTTTTATGTGAGTTGTTGTCATTTTTTTTTTCTCTGGTGGCATGGTGACAGGCCAGACAAACTGACCTAGTGAGCCAGGTCAGGCCTGTGGGTGGGAGTTTGGTGACCCCTCCTTTAGACTAATGCACCTCCCTACAGGAGGGATATCTTTCTAACTCTGTGTGTGTTGCTGCTTCAGGTTTCACCTGTTGCAACTACCTCTCAGCAAGATAATATTCAGACAGTCATCTCTTCAAATCAGGTAAATTTAAAACTGCACGTTCCACCATAAGTTGTCCCTTCTAATCAGATAAATCTAGCAGACCTGCACTTCCAACAATGTGCCCTCCCCCCCAAAAATACCCCCAAAAAACAAAAAAAAAACAACTGTGTGGAGCCTTATGTTGTAAAGTTTATTGTACCACAAGTTTCAGATCAGAACATTTCTATGGCTGAGGTGACCTTTCATAGTGCTTTTCTCATGTGTATTAAAACTCCATCTATGATTGTACCCTGTCTGTACATTAGTGCTGTGACCTCTTCTTCCCAAGTTGAAATAATTTTTCCAGTGATTTTACAATTTTACAGTTTCTTTTTATTATTCGCCACGGTTATAAGCAGGCGGTCGACGGGCGCCACCGGTAGGCCCCACACCTTCTTTTCCCTTTGTTGTTTCCATTTAGCTGGCTGACATCTCACCTGCTTTACCGGGAGGAGCGACCTTTGATGACCATTTTCTATGTTTGTTGCCCGAGATCAAATCTAAGTACTCATATAAGTTAGACATAGTAAAATCTCTTGATATGCAATTTTATTTTGACATAGCTCCAGCGGTTGCTATGGAAACAGCTGCCATCTTGAAATAAACAATGACTTTCAAATCCCTAAAGGCTTTCTTATTTACTGACCAAATTAGACCAAATTTGGTGAGAGTATAGGGCCTACCTGAAACAGACCCTTTCAGCGTAACAGCGATTTTTTTAATAACAAAAGAAAAACAAATCTGAGAATTTTTCTCAAGTATAGAAAAACCTTTTCTAAATTTAGGTTGTGTAATCGCTTGCCAATCGAAAAGTTATTTTTTTTTCTCAGATATCTCTCTGTTACATTGATGGCAGCCTTGATATCTATGTTTCCTGAAAGTTTCATGTCAAAAGGATGAAAACTAAGGAAGGAGTAGGGAAAACACTGCAAAAAAATGGCATTTTAACGAAAAACGACAATTATTGTGAAGATACACTATGTTAACCCACCCTCATGTTTTCAAAGGCAATTTACGAGGAGAATAAAGACTTTCTCAGTTGTCTCCGTGCTATTTTTATACAAAGAACTGGTTGATCTTCAAAAATCAGCCAACATCTCAATGTGCATAGCCTGATCCAAAATCGGCGAAATCAAGGGTCGCTTCTCCCCTTAAATGACTGTTAATGTATTGATATGGTTCTCTTTTCTCTGACCAAACCACCAGCATTATTTGTTTTGCTGGAAAAGATGGCATGCATCGACATACATATTGTAAGCAATAAGAAATAAAAATAGTCTTGACTTTAAGAGATCGTGAAAGGGTCTGGTGAACGGAAAAAGACAGTACGGTATTCCTTCAAATATCACAGGGTTATGTTCCAGAATCTCCCATGGTAGGGGAAAGCCTGTAATATTTATTACGCTTTTTACCCCTTTATAAATCATTCCAGCACTCTAATAAACTTCTTCCAAGCTCTTATAAACACTTTCTACATTTATAATATGAAGGCAAACAGTACAAGTTAAATAATTTCATCAAAATTGACATTTAATATGGGTGAAGATACTAACACGCTTATGAAGATTTGTCATGTTTTCTGGGGGTGGGGGTGTGATGTACTGAATCCTGAAATGTTAAGGTGAAATCGTTCCCAGTGTTTATGTTAGGGTCTTTTTTGCATTAGGAATGTGATCAGTCAGTTAATTGGGTCAAATAAATAAGAATGTGGGAACTGTTTCGTTTTTTTGGTCAGACTTAATTTTTACTTGTAAAGTCAGTCTTAGAAATGCCTAAAGGCTTTGAAAAGTATTGATGGGTGAAGAGATGGAAAGATCTTATTTACAGAATAATATGAATATCTTTAATTGAGGTTTTGAGTTGATTCATCTTGTCTTATATTTTTGCAAAGGAAAATTTCAATATTGCTGCTTTTCTCCTCGGATCACTTCATTAGATGTGTTTTCTTATTGAAAACTGTAGATTTAGTGTACATATTTTACACTTTTTTTTTTAGCTCTGAGTGGCGTGCTTTGACTTACATATTGTTATACTGATTGGCATAGAATGACTTGTTCAGTATCCCCAGAAAAAATGATGTTTCTTTGGTTTTGTTTTGTTAAAAAATTTCTTGCAAAATGTCCATATGTCATAGCATAGTTCCTGACAGGGTCTATCTTGCTTTTTCCTGGCTTTGAATGGCTGACATTGTGTTGATGTGCTTTTCTTTACTCAAACAAATTAGCAGCCCCCCCCCCCTCTCTCTCTGTCTCTGTCTCTGTCTCTGTCTCTGTCTCTCCTCCTCTCTCTTTCCCCCCTCCCCCCTCTCCTCTTTCCTTCCGTCTAGTAGGTGGTTGGAGGGTACTACCGGTAAGTCGTACTTCTTTCCTTTCAGTGTCTATCTGTCTGGCTGGCTTTCTTTAGCACAAACTAACAGTTATTGTGTCATTTTGCTTCTCTTTACTAAAACTCATACTCCCGTCTTTCCATCTCTTCACCCATCATACGAAATGGAAACTAGTTTTTCCCCCCAGTCTTGTCTTTCTTCATCATTGGTGGGCACCAACTTTATACTTCTTTCCCTCACTCTGTAGTTTCTATCAGTACTATCAGTCTGTCTTGCCCTTTCCCCCCATTGAATGACCGTTATAGTGTCAGTGTGTTTGAAAAAAAAGAATAAAAATGTTTTTCTCCTCAGTTGAATCCTTCCTCATCACTAGCGGGCACCACCAGCAATATTGTCTTGGGCAGTGACAACCAGATCTACGTGGTGCCAGCATCTGACTCTAAGACAGTGACTGTAACTTCGGCGGGCGACAACAGCAGCAGCAGTAGTGGTAGCATGAACAACTTCCTGTTGTCCCCGGCGATCGAGGCCGCCCCCTCCCTTGAGGATGCTCTCAAGTTTGGTCTGAACGTGCCTTCTGCATCTGCCACAGCCACCGCGTCATCACAGGCTTCACCAACGTCAGCAGTGGGAGCCCAGAAAGTAGGTGGAACAGCGTAATTATTTCATTCTTATCTCACAACAACACTGTTTCAAATAACGCCCTTCGATGTAGCCTGTTATTTCTAGTCTAGGTCGAGGGCCGCCGAGTAAACTATGGTAGGTCATGTTTTTCAAATTTTACTGGAGAGACAAAAAACAGATTTTCTTGATGTGTATTGGGTGATTAAACTTCATTTTCATTAGGGAGCCTTATATCTGTCATCCAAAACACTTCAAGAAAATCCGTTTTTTGTCTCTCCTGTAAAATTTGAAAGATGTGACTTACCATAGTTTACTTGACGGCCCTCCAGGTATGCCATCTCTAAATATAAACTTTATCATATTGACTTTTTCAGCGCAAGAGAAAAATGTCCCAGACTCCCCCCGAGCCCTCAATGTCCCCCACCAAAAGAGTGTCACAACCAGGCGCTGTAGTGGCCGCCTCCCCCCAGCCTCAGAGTTCTGCTGCTCTGGCGCTAGACCAGCTGGCCACGCTGGGCAAAGACGAGCCGGCAAAAGGGGACGCCAGTCTGGCTGTGACGGCTTCAAAGGATGGAGATGAGTTCACTGTCAGGTGCATGTTTTCCCTATATTTCTATTGCTTGCCAGTGATTGGAGTGTGACTCTAGTTTGTTCTACTTAGACTTTTCTTTCCCTCTTGTTTTTTTATCATTTTTTTTGCATTATCTCAGTTAAATTACCATTATTATGCCCATGTGTTTCTGAATTTTCTTTCCTTGAACTAGTTCCTCATTGTACAAAGCTTCAGACTTGTAGCAGGTTCAAGTTTATGTACAATTTGTCTTTCTCTATCTTTTTTTGTCCATCCTTTGTGGACTCTGTTCTGTTACTTTTCTCCCCAGCTGAGTTTTATTTATATATAAGAACAGTTAATATTTCTATATTGCAAAAGATTTCTATCGTTCTTTTTTTTCTGAACTCCCCCCCTTTTTCCCCCCAGCTCTGATCAACTGGACCTGCTGTCCTCAGATTTGGATGGTGTGAAGAATATTTTACAAGATCACTACAAATTGGACCCATCCTTTCTTATGGAGGTATGGGATTTTGTTAAAGGTTTTGTACATTAGAGTGTCAGAAGCTTTGTAAGTTGAATTAATTAGGACTGGTTTTTCCTTGTGTTGAGTGAGTTGAGAGCAATTGTCTTTTGTACTAAATACACTAATCTGTCCCTGTCGTTTTATTTTATGCAAGAAAAATTCTGAAATTATGCAAACTGAGCCCAAAAATGTGAAATTATACGATTCTGTTAATTTTGACAAAGAATGATAAAGGAAAATAATCGGAAATCATACAAAAAATGATCTAATTTTGCCAAGTTATGCGGGGTGCTTAAAACCACAGGGACACACTAATGAAAGTCTTAAGTTATTGTATGAGGATCAGTGTAGTTTTTAGACACTTGTACATAGTAGATATGACTTCGAATCCCACAAGGGGACTTTATCTTCATCTATCTCCTGAGATGCTGAATGCCCCCTTGGCTGAGTTGAAGCAGGTGAACCCCCCCCCCCCACCCCCTGAATTGTGTTGATGGAGGGGTAATACATTTAAAACCACATTGGAAGAGAAATTTAGCTATTTGATCGAATACTGAATTTGGTTGTTTGTTTTTTTTAAGCTGGAGCTGCTGAATGGTAAAATGACAGAAGTATGTTGGGTTTTTTTTGCATTCTTCTTTAAAAAAAATATTTTTACCAATGTGATGGATTTCATAAAATAGTGTTTGTACATCTGGTTTTTAGATGCTTATTTATGATAAAGTCAATATTTATGTTACATGTAAGATAAAACGTTAAGGATTTGGGACTGCATGTTCAAGGATATAAAATACAGTGAACCTCTTGCTTCTAGACATTTTCTATTAAAAGAACCTGGGTTTACTTCAAAGGAGCGTACTGTGAAATTGCATTAGACACTGTTTGGGTTTTGGTCTGATTGTCCTTGTTGATATAAATTCTACCACAAGTCCAAATCAGTATGTTCATGCTATTGTCTCTCAAAGAATATGAAAAAAAGCTTGCAGAGTAGAATGTTCACTTAACGTTGATACTCCAATGAAAAGGAAAAGGTTTTTATTCTAGGATAATTGCTTACTGTGGATTGTTTCATTCAGTACATACAACGCTGCAGATCTCTGACAATTGTTAATTTTTTTGTAAAGTAAAAGAGAAATTTGAAGTCTCTGAAAAGCATTTTATGAAACCTGTTATATTGGTTTTTTGCGTTGGCAGTTTTTGTTCTTTTATATCCTCCTCCCCCCACCCTAAAATATTTTCAATGTCAGTTTGGCTTTGCATAGTTTCCAATTAAGTTTTGTTTCCTTTGTGGAGAAATTTCAGGTTTAATTGAAAAATCATATTGCACAGCTGTCAACCAGTGTTTGAAACAAGATATTTAATAGTTTTTGAGGGTCTGAGTAAGGAAGTACGAAAAGGAAAAACCACCTATTCTTTGTTTTCTAGTTTTGCACCTCAAGGACTTGCAGATGGGGAAGAAAAAAATTAATTATGAACTTTCAAGAACGTATTTGCGAATAATGAGACTGAAACCCAGAAGTCAGTTGGAGAGATCTGTTGTTGCAGTTTTGCTTTGAATACAGTTGCTTGAATTTATTAAATGCAGGAAAGTGTATGTGTGTGAAGTGTTTGGGGGGGGGGGGGGGGGGATTTCTAGGCAAATGCCCAGCATTTTGACCTGTTGTGTACGTAAAGTATGTTTTGAAAAGATGGCAGCTGTAATGTTGGGATGGTATAAATCTGTAATATGTTGGTCTACAATCGGGTATCTTTCTTTCTTATTTGTAATGTCTTAATCAGCCGGAGCTGAAATCTTACGGATTTGAAGAATCGTCTATTTTGTCTGTGTTTTTTTCCTCAGTTATTTGACTCGACAAATCCCTGGCCTGTCATAGCGGAGAAGGTAAGTTTACTGTGACTGTTTTGTTTGTACAAATAAACAGTAAAGTGTTCGAAATAATATTTATTGTCACTCTCAGTAGAAAAAAAGAACAACTTGAGCATATTTTTGCAAAGCAGCGTCAAATGGAATGGTTCGATTTTCTTGTATTAATGACAATACTCGGATCAGTAAGCCCAAACTGTAATATATCAGGGCTGCTCATTATTATGAACTTTGCTGAATGGCAGTGATTAATTTTTGTTTTCAATTTTAAGAATTGCTGGTAGGTGGGCAACCCTGGTATCTACCCATCACTGAAAAGGCCTCATTTGTAAGACTCGCTAGAAATGTTTATTTTTTAAAGACATTTTTTATACACTTTCAGTCATAGAAGTCTGTGGATAATGTCTTGAAAAAAGTGGGTTTTAGAGGGTTCTTTGTGCCTGTAACCTTTACACATGCCATACTGGAGTGTCCTTGGCAGTAAAGGGCAAGCCCTAGGTCTTTTTAGGATAATGAGAAAATTGATTTCTATCCAAACCGAAAGAAAGCTCTGAAGCATGTTTATGACTGTATGAAAGTGATTAAAGTGTTCCACTGAGCTGTTAATTTTTTTCCTATTTGCAGCTGTATTTGATACCGAATAGTGTCCATTAACTCATTCTCTGCTAATCCGTGATGTTTCATCAATATGGTATTACATATCTCTTGCAATACAGACTCTTTTTAAAAATATTTTTTATACATAGACCCATTTTGTGTGTATTGAATTTTTTGCCCCCCCACATCATCTTGTTCTTTATTTTTAAAAAATTTATTTTGATATTTAACACGTCTAATTATAATAATTATTGGTATATTTGATCACTGACCTTTCCCAAATTCACCTTCAGCTTGTCCCTTTTACAATATCTGGTCTGTCTTAATCATGGAAATCAATCTGGTAGGGAAAAAGTTAATGCCACGTTAAGCTGTAGATTCTTTTCCTGATTTGTATGTTCTGTTTATGCTTTGACCATCATTTTAAGAAACATGTGTTGTGAACTTAGTATCTGGAGAGGACTCTACAATCCACGCATTCAGTATTCCTTTGCCATATTTTACGGGCTGGGCACATCATACGTTTTTTCCAGCTAAAAATAGGAAAAAAACAAGGTAAGCTTTATTGACACACTATTTGAGGAGGTACAAACTATCGGTGCAGGGTTGCAAGTTTATACAAAAGTTTACCGCCTGTCTTTCACCCTAGAAGCCTAGAATGTGTTTATAGGAGGGTGGGATAGGTTTATAAGAATGCGAGTATGAATTTTAAAGGTGCAAAATAAGTATTAATATAGTGTTTTCTTTTCACTTATTTTCCCTTATCCTGGCAGGTTTGGAATGTGACTCCCATTATATTTGAAGGAATACTCTATTGATGTTCATTTGTGATGTGATGAACAGATTCTGGGTTTTCTTATTTATTTGTAATTGTCTCTACAGGACTTGGATGCTTTGAAGATGGATTCCGACAAAGATGAAGCGAGCACGTCTGGAGCAGGTCTTGGCAACATCACAGGTGCTGACAGTTTTGTTTTATTGTTGTTATTATTTTGTGATTTTGCTTTTGTAACCCCTGAAACTATTTATATTATCCTGGCAGTTTATTTTAATCATTCTGACAATTTATTGCTTCTGGCCTCTACCTCTGGTGTCTTGTTGTGTTTTGCCACTAATGGGTGTGGTTGGTTGGCGGATGCTCTGCTGTGGTTTATTTTTTCTTTTCTAACAAACATCTATGGTCTATATATCTCTTCTTTTTTTATGTTTGTTACTCTTTTGTAACGCCTTTAATCTTTGACACTTGTTTGACCTAAGTGCCATAAAACGCTTACTAATGGTTCTACTTGTTTATGCTTCTTATGTTTTTTGTTTCTGTTTGTCAGGTTTGCTTTTCCCTGAATTAAGTCTCGTACATACTGTATCATGGATGTTACTCTCAACATATTGTGTGTTAAATTATTCCCTATTTCTAGCCTCAAAATGCGGCTTGCACAACCCATGATTCATGGCTGTGGGCCCAAAATTCTTCATGTCTTCCACGCCATTAGAGTCTTCAGACATACGAACTGTTATTTTAAACTCTGGTCGCTTTTTCCATTGAAGTGTCCGAAAGGACATTCATTGCCTTATGTTTTATTGGGTAAAACACTGAAGTTTCTGACTTTCTGTTTTATTCTGATTACAGTCAGAAATTTTTTTTAAAATGGTTGGTAAAATGGCTTGTTAACAATGAGGAATGTGGTCTGGTAGAGTTAATGGTTGCAGAAACTGTACTCTGTTCATCTCTGCTTTAACTCTAAAAAAAGAGGAAATCCTTCATCTCCAACATGTTCTGTGTATTGAAACATGAGTTCTTGTTGATTTATAATATAAAAGAAATGAAAAGCATGTTACAAAATCACATTACTTATCCGGTACATTCCTTGTTTTGGGTTGGCTGTCTTAACCAATAACTATTGAAAGATGATTGTATAAATTGTGTGTGATCATCTAGTAGTTACTGTATTTTAGCTCTCGTTTGAAAATGTTTTATGAATTTCATTCCTCTGACCTGGATCACCAGGAAACGACCTCTAGTCTTTGTTCAGTTGTTTGTTTTTGTAGTCAGTCAGTTTTTACTGTAACATTTTTTTGATCAAATCTGAAATTATTTCTCTGATTCAGGCACTGAACTTGTTGAGTACAACCCAAGAGATGAACTCTTCCCCGAACTGATGGATGATAACATCATGGCAGACATTGACGATATAGACTGAGAGAGTCTTCTCCTCGATTATGCTCCTCGACGATGTAGACTGAGAAAGTTCTCCACAGTTATGTTCCTTGACGATATAGACAGAGAGAATTCTTTGCCTTTAAAATCCTTGACAATACAAGCCAAGAGAGTTCTCTGGGGATATATTTCTTGATGATGTTGACTGAGAGAGTCTTCGTTTTGACACTTGCAAGATTATGAGCAGATGATAAATGATCCAGGGTAGTTTTAGGATGATATGGTGCACCCAAGTATTGTTATTAGTCAACATTCTATGGTTGAGGACTGTCAATGAAACTGAACTTTGGAACGACCTATTTGAGTTGGTGACTGGACTTTGTGTGAGTGCAGCATGTGTGGCGGTCATCTGTTATCATTCTTAGCAAAGCTGATTCATGCTTAGCAAAATGGCTTTTATGTGTGTGTTCAGGTGGATTTTGGCATGAAGCAGCAGTGAAATACTCGCCTTTGCCAGGTGGGGGCTCGGCAATAACTTAAAATAACTAAAATATCTCATGATTATTGCAGAAACTTAATTTATTTGATAGGCCTTAACTCTTTTTATCAGGGCTACGAGTGTACTCGTAAAGAGGACCAGTTCGGGCTACGAGTAAACTCGGAACAGCTATCTGGTCACGTGAAACAGCTAGTTCTGCTTTTAATTACCAAAATACGCAAATACGGCGAATATTTTACTTTTCTAATGAACAGTGGTTTCTTTGCTTTTGATGGGTGTAGAAGCTTGAAAAATGTCTCGATAACTCACATTCGTGACTGACAAAGCTACCTCTTGAAGTGACGCTGGGTTGTGAGGAGGGAATGAGACTAATTTGATGAAAATGACTCCGAATCAAGTGCCGAAAATTCTGTTGTGGATGATAAAAAACAGGAATTAGACATCTAATAGTGATTCAGATCATGGTGAAGGGCTCAGTACTGGAATTCGTGCAGTACCGATGGGTTGGGCTAGATCTATAAATCCAAGGGGACGTCATGGGCACGGCAATCAGGGTCAAGTTGGAGGATGGAATAAATCTCAAAATCTACATGGTGTAATTGGTGTAATTCCTAACCACATACATTTACAAAAACTGCTTTCAATTTCTAATGTAACTACCAAATCTCCTTAAAAATCTAAGAGTAAATGTAAGAAATACAGCACTTTGAAATATGCACCCTGAATTCGAACTCGCACAGCGCTGCAGCCCCAGGACGGGTACAGAGTCCGTGAGGGTACGGCCGGGATAGAAAGAGTTAAATCTATGCATATGACATGTAATTTTTAAAGAAAAATTTGTACAGATGTGAGATAAAGGATCTAAAAAAGGGCCCTGTTTTCTAGTTTTTGATAGCCTTTGAGAAAGGAATATGGTGCTATTGAGCTTCAATGGTTTGAGTTTCACCCATGTGGGTAATTTAGGTGTGCCTTATTGTTTGTACTGTATGCTCTTTGTGTGGCTGGGTGGGTTGCAGAAGCTTTTGTATGTCAGTGACATAGACTTCCTCACCTAGGTCGCGCACTGTCATGATGGCCACTCTTTGCTTTCATTTAAAGCTTGGCTGTGAACTGTGGGTGTCATGGGTTGTGCCATTATGCCTAATGAAGGGCAAAACACTGGTCAAATGATGGTCACATGCACACATGCACACACACACACACACACACACACACACACACACACACACACACACACACACACACCTTCATTTGGCCCAAATTAATTGAAATTATGGTACGCTCACTTCACAGTGAATCAGAACTTTGTGAAAGTGACAGTCTAGGATACGGTTTATATAAGTCAATGGATGGTGACAACGTTTTACATATTGAAGGGCTTTGTGACAAAATGTGATATGACCAATATTGAAACTTCTGCTTTTTTTGCCCTTTTGTACTCTAGCAGGATCTTTTGTCTTGCATGGTTTCTCTCTGCTTCAATTCATTTGGGTTTTTTAAATTTCATTTGCAGCATACAAAATGTGAATCATATAATCAGCTTTATTTGGGTTGTTTTGTTGTTCACTTTTTGGGAATGTTTTGTCACAAAGCTCTAAATATATTGTTCTTGTAGCGAGTTGGATGTGTGGTCTGAGCTCTGTGGTTCAGACTGTTATTCAGATATGAAAAAACATGGTCTGTTTTGTTTGTTTTTTCAAGAAAAAATCTTTTGTTTTGGTTTTCAAAGCATGAGTTTAATCAAAATTGTTGGAAAAAATGTACCTGTTACTCCTAGCATCTGCTTTTTCTTTCCTAATCCTTACTATTGTCATTTTCCTCTACTTCTTTTGTATGTTTGTCACTCTTGTGACCTGCTATTTCCGGGGTGCCTTGATGGTTGAAGCAGACTTTGTGCTGTTGAAGCTAGAGAGGTGAGCAGAGTAAGTCTGACTCCTTGTAAGGACTTCTCTGTTGACACCCACCCCTTGGCGCTCATATGACCTTATGCAGTTGCGAGCGCCGTAAAACCCTCTACTATATATATATATAAACACTTTTTGTTGTCTCAAATTATGTTATTCATAACCGGAATTACAATTGTTGATGCTATGTTGTGTAACAAGAGCACTACAGGATATTTTGAGCAATTCTGATTGGCATTAAGAAAGAAATTCTGTTTTTTCCCCCACTTTTGAAAATCAATGTTCATCATACACACATTTACAGTTAAAGTTTTATGTTATCAGGCTATGAGTGTGTCAGTTTGAATATGAGACTGTAGGAAAAATTCAGGCTTGTTCGTTAGAAGTTGTTGCCATGCTTTGAGTGTTGAAAGGCACTCAGAAGACGACAGTCTCATGTGTGCCTTAGTCAAGTAGGAATGTGGGGAGGTGTTTTCTCTATGGTAGTGCATCTGTAAAACTAAAATATAGCTTACCCATTTTGAACTGTTTGACCGAGTATGCAATGTTTATGGTTGGATGTGAGAGTCACAGTGGAGCTGTTGAACATTTTTCATATGATCTGGAAATGACATGATGTGATTGTGGTTATGTGGGAAGAATTGTGGAGTTATACTTTACTCTTACAAGTCTTTTCACTTCGACTGAGATGTAGACATTTTCTGCCCAGGGTATGGCAGAATATGGTATATCTTCTGCCCAGGGCGTGGTAGAATATGGCATATCTCCAAATGTTTTGCTGCTGCCAGTTGGTTTGGTTTGCAGTTTAAAGATTGTGTTCTGGTAGTCTGTTTTTCTGTAATGTAAGTAGCTTTTTCAAGTTTAATTTCCTATTTGCTTTAAGTAAGTACGTAATAAGGGTATCTGGCATTCATTTTTTGAACAATAAAAAAGGTCATTGCTATTGATTTGTTATTGATGTACTGAGCCCTTTTTGTAGCGTGAGAACCACAAAGAACACGTTGCCATTTCTTTGTGTTATTTATGTTTGTGTTTTCAACTTGGGTTTTGTATTCATCTTCTTTGCATGGTTATGCTTTGTGTAAAGACATTTTTTCCTTTTGTCTTTCGTTCTTGCATTTTGTGTTGACCTTTTTTTTACAGTCCTTCTTTTTTGTGTTTTCTGTTAACATTTTTCTACTTTTCTTCATCCATGTGGATTAAACCCCCCCTGATATTGGGAGCTGTATCTTTGTCTTTTTAAAAAAAGTTGGGTCTATTATTAAAGTGATGACATTGTTGAGGGTTTTTTTCCATCATAGCATTTGGCTAGCAAAATTTAAAAGAATGCTAATTTTGTCCCTACAAAAGATTAGTGATCATTCAGTCATTTCTGAAATACTCTAAGAGCATCATGTCTTTCCATGACCTTTTTTTAAATTCGACATGGCATTAGGCCGCCTAAAAGCAGAAATGTAAAACTGAATGAACACATGGTACCTGAAGAAGAGTCACAGAAAATGGTGTATAGAAAAGTGGGAAGAGATGAATAGTATCAGGAGGCTAGCCCAGGATAGGGAAAGGTGGAAAGTTTTTGTTTGTGGCCTTGATGATGCAGGGTAATGACAATGATGATGTAAAACAGGGTAAAACTAATTATGTGGCATCACGATCAAATCAGTCGCTTGTCCAAATAATGAAATCGCAGTAACAGACATTTTTCCGCCAATTGGGCTATTTTGATCAAATTTTTTTTGTTTTTGGTCTCAACACATCACATTGTATGTCCATTTAGAAAAATACTCGTGTGTGGATTTTACGGAAAAATATTGACCAGAGGCACAAAAAATATAAATTTGCAGTGTCGAAGGACACTACAGCTTTGGAAGTCATTAAATTTTGCCTGCCAGTTTATCGCTCATTTTACTTCTGACACCAGATGACCCCACTTCCTTCAATCGCAAATGTCTCGACTTCTGTTCGAAATAGATGAGAATTTTTACTTAAAAAGCAAAGCAAATGAACAGATTTTTAAACCAATAACTCTAAATTGATGAAAGCCTGATTCCACTGAGTCATGACACAATTTATCTCTTCTCTTAGATAGGGAAGATTTGTTTTGATGTATTAGTCTTTTTATTGGTGTGACATTTGTTTTAATTCATCCCTATCTCATGCTTGTACTTGTATATAAACTTATTTAATGTAAGTGTGAATGTTTTCAAGAGATTAATATTTCACCACTGAAGAATATGTTTTATTCCATTCCTCCATTTGACGTCTTAAGTTGTAATTTATCACGGTTTGTAATGACATGAAAGTGTTTGTATTTTATTTCATCTTATCTGTTCTGCTCGGGGTGGATTATCATATTGCTTTTGGTGGAATAGTCTGGAAGTATTCATCTTCATATTCGTCAATAGAAATAGATGAGTCATATATGCCTGTAGTCAACATATAATTGCTCTTCTGTAAATTTGATGTTCTAGGTATCATTATTGATTATTTGTTTGACAACTTGGTTGTTTTTGAGACTGACATGTGTCTGTTTTATATCAGTTAGGCTCTTTGCAGAAGACAGGAGTTGAGATCCCAAGTGGAGAGGGTTTTTTTCCCCACAGGTATTTTCATATACATCTGCTGAGATGTATGTATCCTTTTAAGCCCATGTTGGCCCTGATAGGCAGTTTCAGTGTAGACATGTAACATTATGTCAATTAATGTGTAAAAAACAACGCTGTTACAGTTTTGTAGGCTACCTTTGGCAATGACAGGGAAGCCGTGTGTAATTGTGTTATGGTTCTTAGGAAAGACGGGAAGTCCAGAGAGTGAGTTTTCACATTTCTTCTTAAGCTGTTGTGGGGAGAGGATTATGCTTCACTATTGCCTTGGAGTCTATTTTGAAGTTCCCCCCGACATCCCGATTCTGTCTTTGTTCAGGACCAGGTTCTAGCCGATATGTTGGGGACCAGGGCTCAGGGAGTTAATAATCCAGCAGGCAAGTCTGAAGAGTTAAATGGGGCAGATGAGTCATTTTGTTACAAAGCCCTTCAGTTAGTCAGCATTATTCCATTAGTGCCTATGCTGATTTTTGAAGTTTTATGGGGGGGAAAAAAGAGATACAGATGCCCAAATCAAAGCCATGACGGAGGTGCTCGTTATTTTTCAATGAAACAGCAAGGAAGGAAATAGCCAGAATAAATCAAACTTTACTATAAGATGTCCTCGATCGATGTCTTCATTCAAATTCAAATAATGACTTTATCTTGGAACCGCAGAAATAATTTGGGCTATTGTGGAATGATGTTGACAAAATGTTGTTTGAGTTTTGAGTAGTGTCCACCTACCATTTGTGTGATGTTGGTATTGTGGCGAAGACTCATTCCTAAACTCATTCATGCCTGTATATGTACGGTTATGTACTAGTTATTCCTGCTTTGTTCGCTGATTGAATGCAGCTTGAAAAAAGACTGTTAAATTTATAAGTGAAAGCTCTTCTCCAAGTGAGTGTTAAAGGCATACGAAAAGAATAAGCTTGAACGTGTTCCTTCAAATTATGAAATGTGTCCGGGAGATGGTTGCTGATTGGTTGTTTTTCTAATGAATGTTTGAACTTTGTCACGGGTTGGTGCATAATCAAAACTTTGCTTTCATGTTTTCTTACTATACTGAATACCTCAAAGTTTAACGAATTTCTTGTCTAATCTTGTAAAGGATTTCCCTACTTTTTTACTTCTTGTCTGTTCTTGCTCATGGGGAAATATTGCTGTTACATGTGTCAGCTTCTGGACTGTACGTAAGCTTAGACTCAAACAGCAATGTGGACGACAATAACACGCTTCATGTGAAGGCTCCGCCATAGGATATAAGGGCTCTAAGTTAAAGTCTGGCTCAGGGCTTTGGCAAGATATTATGTTTCTTCTAAAGAGCAGCAGTTCTTCCTG